TGTTGGCTCAGTGGATGACTGTAGTTTAAATTCTGAATTATCGATCGATTGATGGTTTGTGTACATTCGCCGTGTGTAAACCGATCGATAGCCCGCTTGGAGTGCGGCTATGGCTTGCCAGCTACTGCTTGCTAAGGCTGTTCCTTAGGCCGTCCTAACAACGTCTAAGTAGTGGTTGTACTTAGAGCATTACAATCACCAGGCCAAATCCCCAGTAGTAAGTAAAAAGCAGAAGGCACCTGTTAGAGAGATTTATTGTATACAGAACTAACTCCCAGTTGCTGTCTCAGCTGGCAGTGGCCACAGGGCTAGTTGTCACTGCGTCCAGTTGGGCCTGAGATAGAGAGCATTAGATAGTGGTGACAGTTGCCTAAGTAGGATTGCGGAGCAGTTTCAAGTGTTCTCCAATTGGTGCCTGTGACATTACCGGAGGAGTGTTATGTCTGGTGGCGTAGGCTGTATCGGCCAAGGGTGGGGGAAAGGGGCATATTCAATTAGCGTTTCGGTAGCCGCGGCTATCTGGGCGCAAGTGTGTGTGCGAGTTGAAGTCAGTCAAGTGTCTGCAATTCAGCCTGTCTGAAAGCGCTGACTCAGATCGTGAATGACCTTGAGGCAGTAGGCCTTAAACAAGGAAGCCGAACACAGGTATGTTTGGCGTCGGCTACAGTCATGCTTAATGGTTAAGCGTCAAAAGCCGCATTGCAAAAGAACACTGAGGTCTTGTGCTACCGTCCTCAGCGCCTCCTGCTAGCCCTCCAGGGCAATAAAACGGATTCCAATTAGTCCACTATTCTTCATCAGTTACACTCCCATTTTGCACGACACCATTGTTCTTTCTATTCAGCCAGATATTACCCAACTCGTGATCGGGACCGTGACCCATGCCATCATTGCGTCCCTGTGGATTCCCTTCCAAATTGAAACATAAGTAGACCGCCCTGGTCGGACATTTTACGCCCAAACTGTATTGCTGTGTGTGTAACCTACAGTTTTCTTGTGGTATAGGCCCAAAAGCAAGCGAATTTACCTTGGCGAATAACCCATCATCTCTGTTGATGATGGTTCCTACTGCTCAACCAACTCCCGGGTGTTTCAATTAGCTCCCCCCTTCCTCGTCCCCCCTCCCTTTATCTACAGTCTAACCGTATTTTTTGCCCACTGACATCCCTTTTACAATCTAACGTGTGCGTCTCCCATAGCAGTAGGTGCTTTTCAAGGTTGTTGCATCTCAGTCCTACCGAACGTTTTTATTGTGTCAAATGCACAACGTTTTGACTGAAATTCACTCATTTGCTGCGGAGGGTGGGTATAGTCAAGCGTCACACACTTGATTAACCACCGCGTCTCACAGATGTGTCTGGCGCATTTTTTTCAAGTTACTCGGCCCGCCTGCTGTGAAATTGGGTGTAACCGAGAATTTGGTATTCTAAAATAACGCCTACGTCAAAGCAAATCAAAATAAACGACCGCATCTTCCTTTTGCAAGGTGCTATTAACGGTAACGTGTAGGTAGCACCACGCCCGTATCACTCAAATAATTGTGGGGGGGTTAGTCTCACGTTTCTTGCCGCCTGCTGGCTGTACTTCCCATTGGCTACCGGCCTGCTCTGATTTACTGACACGCGGTTTATTCAGCTATCTCTGATTTGCCGCAGGTAGCTTTTTATTGATTCTTTTTCAATTATCGCACGTTTTTTACAATAATTTTATCTACTATTTCCTGTTTCTGTTCGCTGTTTTTTTTTTAATTTTCTCTCCTGCTCCCCCGTAATGCCCTACCTATATAACCCCTTATTACCACCGCGCCCGTAGTAAAGAATTCTGGAGTTTTGGGTTTACATTGTTCTACGTATAATAGACTGCTACCCTACTAACAAATAATCAAGGGTAGACATGGCGCAGACCACCGACAGTGGACACCCGTATAGAACAAAAAAAAGTCGGCCGAATTCTCAAAGCCTGGCTCCAGGCAATGAAATGTGTCTTCACAAGAATGAGTCACGCGTGTGTGATCTTACACAATTCATATACCAGGTTAGTGGTAAGCCTTCTGCACTGAGTGACTCCGTTGGCGACGTGCATGGCTGTCTTATTGCTGACAACTCCGCCA